TGCGATTGTTGAAGGCGGGAAGACGCTTTGACAAATGAACGTCGCATTCTGGAATCGACGTGAAAAACTGTTTGCAACTTTCGCGTTCTTACGAACCGGGCGAGAAGAACCAGAGTGTGAAATGTGTCTTTCTACCGGGTGGTTGCGCGGTGAAGTTCTCAGTGTTCACTGTGCGTGAAGCTATGAAGACATTTTGTGCGATCGTCGCAGCCTCGTTCAGACCCAACTCCGAATGATTGCGCTGACATCGCACGACATGTCCTCCTCAACTAACAAAAGTGGTACTGGCCTCGAGGAAAATTACGCGGGCTTCTGTTTATTTTAGTTTGCTGTCTTATGTTTTCATGTTGACGTGTAATCTCTCTTGCCGAACGGCAGAAATTAATTTGAAATTGTAGGATGAAGGCGTAACTTTCCCTGATTTGTGCAATCATTTACATATTTCAAGTTCGCGTGTTTCATGGAAGTGGTTAAGACAGGATGAATGGCAGAATGGATTGCGTCTAAATAAACAGAAAGCATCAATAAGTGGCAGCCGAAGTTCACCCGCTCATAGCTCCTGCCTCAACCCGCCGAAAGTCGGTGCGCAGAGGACCGAAACCGGCCACGCGCAAATAACCGCACTGTAGTGAAGTTCGCTCTCACAAGATCTTGCTTTTGAAACAAGGGTAGGGAGTTCGGGGAACAAAGTCGCCCACCTCCGTAACACTTTCTTAGGCTCGCGGGTCACGAGAACGCGTTCCTTTCGCAGCTCTCGACTGGGGGCTGCGTCCTACTAGCACAGACACAGGGTGGCTAAAACAGGTTGACTCAGGGATTTTTAAACAGCGAGCAGCACGTGGCCTACCGATGTGTTTTCTGCGGCCCGCGTACATTTTTATCGTCTTACACCTCGGCGGAAAGTGATTACACATTTCATCGCGTCGCCATGGCAAAGGTCAAAGCTCCACGGGAATCCCGGACTTTCTCTCTCTCCCCGGTTTCCTACGCGGAACTGGTTAACGCAGCGGTGTATCTGCCGAGTTTCGAACGTGGCTAGGACTGAAGACAAACTTCCGTGTTTTTACTCAGTCAACCTCCGAATCAACACAGTTCATGACCGTGCGAGGCTGCATTCAGTTTGTCGTAAGGAGGATTTTACAGAGACGATCAGCCAAAGAGTTCGCCGAGCGATCGGAATAGAAAGTTCGACTGCGCTTGAAAACCCGGGAGTTTCACAATGGAAGGAAAAACCCTGCCAGTCTGTCGTCAGAACACTCGCCGGGGCCCTTC